TATTCAACTTTGGTTCCAAAAATTTACCCCTCCCCCCTTCCCCATTAGTCCCATTATTTTACCATTTGTTTTTTTACAGCAAAGTAAAAGCTGAAAAAAAGGTTAAGGGATAGTTCCCGGTGCAGCACCCTCCTAATTAAGGTATAGGATGATAGGTAAATGTAGTTAAGTTCCTTGGTAGCTAGTAGAGCAGCTGTTGATTACTTTAGTCTGCTCCATGTTTCACAGGCTGCTGCTCTGATTATTTCCCCCTGCATTCTAAAAAGTTCTAGAATCACAGTGGAAGAAAGACAGAAGAGCAAACTGAATATTTATGGGACTCATCCAATCCCTGAGGAGGTGTCCAGTAAGTGGCTGTAGAGCCCATAAATAGTCTGTGGCCTGGGACAGAGGTATGTGGGTCCTGGACTCAGTTCTGCAGGAGTCCTCAGCCTAAGGGACTCTGCCCCTAAGGGCACTCTACTGGAGTGTTGCTTGAGGATCATGAAGGTCCCAGCTGTATCATAGCTGGGGGGGGGGCTATTTTTTCAAGTCTTTTCTGGGATTTTGGTCTGGAGAACTTGCTGAAGCTCTGAAGCTGAAGAATACCTGGTGAAAATTGGAGGAGGGCATCCAGCTGTCCTGTGGTATTGTGAGTTTAAAGAATATGTAAACCCAACATTTTTTATTCCTGATATGTGCCTACTACCATGTACTTCTATGATGAAGTTTCCTGTTCTCTTTGTATTGCTTTCTTTGTGTGAAATCCCTGGTGTTCCTGCCAGCCTCCTTGCTTCCCTATTAAAAACTGACCACACTAAACAGCAGAACACATCATGGTCAGTTCTCTAGCTATGCTGAAAACTCAGTCCACTCTTCTATGTTCAGAGTTGTCCTAACATGCCCCGTGGAAGACCAGTGTCCTGCTGTTTCTCCTCCCCTAGGTGCCATGCAGCCGAGAATAGAGGGTATGTGATCATTTATAAAAGAGAAAAAAAAAGGTATATAATTTTTTTTTTATGTATACACAAGTGTTTTGCCTTTCATTTCTATTTTAAGCTGAATGGTTTGCTGTACAAGATGAGGGTTTACAATCACTTTAACTATTCCTCAGTGAGTAGTGCCTGCTGGACATCGGAAGGAGGCAGCCAATGATCCTGTGGCATTGTGAGTACTGACCTAGGCCCAGAATCGTGGGTGGTGTGTGTGTTTCTCTGTTCTTCAAAAGGGCACTAGTCATTATTTAACCAGTGGTGATTTTCTTGGGAACTATCTCATCTACGGGTTCTGCTTGTGCCTCAGTGGAAAGAGAAGTGCCCTCAGCTAGTTCTGCATTTTTTTCCTGGTTATCCCCTGCCTCCTTCTCCCAAGACTGTTATTGAGCCAGAGAGAAAGAGGAATTCTGTATGCCTGGCTGTGTTTGCACTAAATTCGGGGAAAGGAATCAGCTATCACCAGCTCCTTCCTCTGGGATGATCAAATACACAAAAGGGGAAAATACAATAACATAGAAAATAAATGAAATAATAAAATAATGAAAATACCCCAACTATAGCCCTGTGAACTGGGGTGCATTGGAGGCCATTTACAAAATCTGGGATGCTTTAGTGCAAAACAGGTTAATGCACAACATAACATGCCTGCATGACCGTACCTCATAGTGAGATCCCAGCCAAATTTCAGCTCAAATCTGCTCATTTTTTTTTAATCTAAAGGATAATATTTCTCACTGCACCTGCTGCAAAGGCATGGTCATGGTTTGAAAGCCCTCTTCCCCAGTTATGAACTGGTTAAAGACTTCTCCTCAAAGCACCAGCTATATTGTAGATGCAAATTATATATACAGTATATTTCCATGTAACATTTTTCTGAATTACGCTCCATGTCTCACTCTTGTCACTCTAATACACTCTTAAGTTGTAACAAAATAGGTTTACCATAAATTATTCATTTCCCTCTTCTCACTGCATGCAATGTTACTTAATTTATATAAATATATGTGACGGAAAACACACTCCAAATAAGTGTATATTGCAGGCATTACATAAATATTTGAGTAGTTTGCAATCGATCATGCGATGAAGCTGCTGGTATGTCATATTGCCATTAGAATTTTTTTGTTGGATTTCATTTGCGTGGTAATTCATTTAACTATTTCATTATATTGCTGTTACAAATGGTGACAGAAAAATGAAATCTCTGACAATTTGTTATAGGGAGTAATACAATCATATGCAACAAAGACATTATTCCTCTGCCATATTTAGAAATGAGCGAAGCACTTTCTTGAATTGACTTTTTTTTGCTGCCAGATCCTTCTGAAGCAGTCATGATTGGATGACGAAACGTGTCGTGGGCGTGACATGATGACGTCACCGCACAAACAGGAACTGGAAGTTTGCCATCTTGGGGAGGCTTCTGAAGGCAATATATTGTATACTGGATGTAGTACACACAGTTTATGTGTGATTTTGTTTAACACTTTATTTTAATAAACTGTTATGGCGAGCCGATATATTGTGCAATAAGGTTCTTTTTGTTCCTTTGAGCAAGTATATGGAGTAATGGTGGTTCTTGTGAGGATAAGAAACGGATAAAAGCTGCATGGAGACAGAGCCCTTTTAAAGGGCATGGCGCATATTGACCTAGTATAACAGGTCAGAACCTGAGATAAGCAGCCCATTTGGAAGGTGGAAATAGCACTTCTTGTGGTGGTGATTTGTTTAAATATCTGCACTGGTGGATGTTTTTCATTCATATGGATGTAATTTAAAGTGTTACTAAACCCAGGATTCTGCATTCACTATATCTGGTCTCCCACAGTACACACAACATGGAAATGCAATTATTTTAGTAAATATAAACTGCTAAATACCTTTTCTCATCAGCAGTTAGAACAGTCTTGTGACTTCTATCAGTGTCCAGCATAGCACTGGTTAAAGATTGTAGGAGGCATTTTCTTTCTGCCCTAGGAGGATGTGAAACCCTTGACTCTCTGTCTAGACAGTGCTAATTGGCCCTGTGCTGATCACATGCAGTCTCCCAAGAAAGAAAAAAAAAAAACCTCTCTAGCAACACACCAAACTGAGCATGTGCATGTGACTACGGATTCACTCTATATCAGGCTGTCATTTCAACAAGAGGAGAGGCAAAGGGGAAGGGATCAAACAGCCTTTTTATACAATGCAGAGGATTAACCCCTTTGGTTCCACAGTGAGTATAACAAGCATGCTTTACTGCATATACAGACTGATTTTACTGTTGTGGGTTTAGTAACACTTTAAGGTGGAAGAAGAAAATAGTGGACTTTTTACATACATACAGTTATTTATATTTTCACTGTAGATTGTTTTTTCAGTATTCTTTTGTTATCTGCACAGATGTGGATATTTTGCACAATTGTAGATGTTTAAGATTTGGCACTTTATATGTAATGATGATATATTAATACATAATTGTGAAGTGGAAGGAAAGTAATAAATGGTTTTTCAAAACTGTTTAAAAATAATTATCTGAAAAGTGTGGCATGCATTTGTATTCAGCCCCACGGAGTCAATACTTTGTAGAACCACCTTTCCCTGCAATTACAGCTGCAAGTCTTTTTGGGGATGTCTCTACCAGCTTTGCACATCTAGAGAGTGAAACCTTTTCCCATTGTTTGCAAAATAGCTCAAGCTCTGTCAGATTGGATGGAGAGTGTCTGTGAACAGCAATTTTCAAGTCTTGCCACAGATTCTCAATTGGATTTAGGTATGGAGTTTGACTAGGTATTCTAACACATGAATATGCTTTGATCTATACCATTCCATTGTAGCTCTGGCTGTATGTTTAGGATTGTTGTCCTGCTGGAAGGTGAACCTCTGCCCCAGCCTCAAGTGTTTTGCAGACTCTAACAGGTTTTCTTCTACAATTGTCCTGTATTTGGCTCCATCCATCTTCCCATCAACTCTGACCAGCTTCCTTGTCCCTGTTGAAGAAAAGAAACCCCACAACATGCTGCCACCACCATGTTTCACAGTAGAGATGGTGTGTTCAGGGTGATGTGCAGTGTTAGCTTTCCGTCATACATAACAGTTTTGCTTTTAGGCAATTTCAATTCAAAAGTTCAGTTTTGGTCTCATCTGACCAGAGCACTTTCTTCCACGTTTTCTGTGTCCCACCCATGGTTTCTCCCAAACTGAAAATGGGACTTCTTATGGTGGCAGAAGCTCCTTTCAGCTATGTTGGACTAGTTCTTGTGCCAAGAATGCCCCTCTCTTGCCTCACTCATTTAGTCACTAAGAGTAAAAAAAGAAAGTGGAAAATAGTAAGAAAAATAAAATCTAAGTAAAAGTGCATAAAGATTAAGGGGTTAATTTATTAAAGGCAAATAGACTGTGCACTTTGCAAAGTGCACTTGCACTCCCCAAGGGCAGTAGCTTCAAAGCTTAGTAAAGTAGGTAAAGCTTCACTTTCCAAAAAATACCCAACCGCATGCAAGGAAAATAAAAAACAGCATTTATGCTTGCACGTGATTGGGTGATGGAAGTTAGCAGGGCTCCCCTCATTTACTAAGCTCTGGAGCAACTGCATTTGCAAAGTGCACAGTCTTTAGTAACTCAACCTTATGGAGATATTTCAATGAATTCTCACAATTTTCATTTCAAATTTTAATCAAAAAGACCAGGACCAAATGCAGAGTCACAAAGTATGGACTGATATGTTCCTAAAAATTCAAAGTTTTGATGATACATCAAACTGGCCAGTGGTAGGACAGCTTTGCATTAGAAGGAACAAGGACAGCAGTTAGCAAACGACTGACAAAGTTCCTTCCACTTGTCAAAGCAGGTCTTTTAAATGTGTTCATTCACATAAAGTAACAGGTGGCCTCATCCCCACAAACCACTCATTCACACTGCATGAGCCAGTGTACCCATGTGAATAAGAACCTTTTTTTTTACAATTTTTAATAATTCGTTTTTACATTATTTTACAGGGGATCGGGTCTAGTAACTGGGGTTGTGCAGCCTCATAGGACAGTAAGAGCAGAATGAAAACTCCTCCTACGAGCTTTAACCAGTGCTCGTCTGGACACTGATAGAAGTCACAAGACTGCTGTATACTACTGAAAAGAAAAGGTATTTAGTAGTTTGTATTAACTAAAATAATTGCATTTCCGTGGTGTGTGTACTGTGGGAGACCAGATATAGAAAATGCAGGGTCCTGGGTTTAGTAACACTTTAATATCTTGCCTAGTAGCCCTAGAGATGGGCAAAATTTACTATAAGATTTGCCCCCCTCCCATAAAATTCAATGCAATTAGCATCAAACCTGATCCAATCGAACTTGAATGGTTAACAGTTATGTTCAACCAAGAATGTTTCTGATTACCATAGTAGTTCTGGTATGACTTTGTTTTGTACTTTTTGAGGTAAATTGGAACATAGTGTTTTTCTTGCCTTTTTCTATATTAACTTGTTTGTGAAAAGGTGGGCGGATTTTTTTTTTTTTATTGGTGATGGGCCATTGAAATTGACAGCTTTCTTTTTCATCTAACTTCACAAAAAGCTTTTTCTTTTTTTTTTGTGTCACTGGAATGTCTTTTTCTGCTCAGTCACGTTTGATCTGTATTCTTGCTATGAAAAATAATGGAAATTCAGCCAAAAAAAGAAGCAGCGGAACTAGAATGTTCTTTTTTTTTATTTCAAATGATACATTGTATAGAAATAGTATCTAAAGAAAACTTTGTAGACCAACAGAGTTTTTGTTTCAGCGTCAAGGGACATTTTTAAATGAACCCTGTAATCATGACTCGATCCAAACTTCTGCTCGGATGCCAATCGGCGCACTGCCTCATTGTCTCCTTTCTCCTTTTAGCGGCATGACAAGAAACTAATGAATTTTTCCCCTTTTCAATCATGTTTGACTTCCTCGTGAATGCCTCCTGTCTTTCAGCAGTTGTTTGCCAGTGAAAGCTCCGGCCTTCTCGTTTGTTGAAGCTTCTTTCCTGTGACAGAAAATCTATAGGTTAATATAACGTGATTTGCAGCTATATTATCGATAGCCTTATCTGGCAGCCCAGCAGCTCTAGATCTTCCCTTTCAACCATTAGTCTTACTTAGTAAGGCAGAGGAGAGGACAAGAAGGATGTGTACAGCACTGTAACCCATAGCAACTGTCGCCACTCCATTCCTAAGAGCATGCCGAATAATAATGTGGTCCTAGTTCGCTGTGTATATTCAACATCCAAATGATACTGTTCTTGTGCCTACACACTGCAGAATGGCACATTCACATTTTACTAAAAGGTGAACGCCAACGTTTTTTTTTTTCCACTCCCCCCCCCCCCCCCCCATGTATAGCATAAAATATATTGCCAATCACTAACCATATGGAAGAAAAGTATATTTGAAATATATCTTAAAAATATTCTACCCAAATACAATGACATATATTTGAAATTTTGGCCATATTCAATATATTTCAAAATATATTTCAATCAATATATATATATATATATATATATATATATACAGTCATGTTCAAAATAATAGCAGTGTGTTGAAAAAAGTGAATAAAGCTCAAAATCCTTCTAATAGCTTTTATTTCCATACACACAAATGCATTGGGAACACTACACATTCTATTCCAAATCAAAACATGAAGAAAAATATATCAAATTTGTGTTGTTCCTCTAAAAAAATTGAAGAAAAGTGAATATTAGACTGTTCAAAAAAATAGCAGTGTTTGTATTCTTCTTTACAAACTCAAACATTCACTATATAAACTGAAAAATGTTTGAAGATTTTGCTTTCCTTTGAATCACTTAATGAATATTTAGTTGTATAAGCACTGTTTCTGAGAACTGCTGTACATCTGTGTTGCATGGAGTCAACCAACTTCTGGCACCTGTGAACAGGTATTCCAGCCCAGGGTGATTGGACTACATTCCACAGTTCTTCTCCATTTCTTGGTTTTGCCTCAGAAACTGCATTTTTGATGTCACCCCACAAGTTTTCTATTGGATTAAGATCTGGGGATTGGGCTGGCCACTCCATAATGTCAATCTTGTTGGTCTGGAACCAAGATGTTGCACGTTTACTGGTGTGTTTGGGGTCGTTGTCTTGTTGGAACACCCATTTCAAGGGCATTTCCTCTTCAGCATAAGGCAGCATGACCTCTTCAAGTATTCTGATGTATTCAAACTGATCCATGATCCCTGGTATGCGATAAATAGGCCCAACACCGTAGTATGAGAAACATCCCCATATCTTGATGATTGCGCAACCATGCTTCCCTGTCTTCACAGTGTACTGTGGCTTGAATTCAGTGTTTGGGGGTCGTCTGACAAACTGTCTCCGGCCACTAGACCCAAAAAGAACAATCTTACTTTCATCAGTCCACAAAATGTTGCGCCATTTTCTCTTTAGGCCAGTCAATGTGCTCTTTGGCAAATTGTAACCTCTTCAACACATGTCTTTTTTTCAACAGTGGGACTTTGCGGGGGCTTCTTGCAGATAGCTTGGCTTCACATAGGCGTCTTCTAATTGTAACAGTACTCACAGGTAACTTTAGACCTTCTTTGATCTTCCTGGAGCTGATTGTTGGCTGAGTCCTTGCCATTTTGGCTATTCTTCTATCCATTCGAACGGTAGTTTTTTCAGGTTTTGGTTGCCATTTTAAAAGCACTTTATATGTTTTTCCCACTCCAATCAACGTTTTAATCAAGATACGCTGTTCTTCTGAACAATGTCTGGAACGACCCATTTTCCTCAGAATTTCAGAGAGAAATGCACTGTAACCAGCATATACAACATTGCTGCCTTCCTTCCTTAAATAAGGGCAATAATTTCCACCTGTTTTTTCAAAGAATGAATGACCTCATTAATAGAACTCCACACTGCTATTATTTTGAACATGCCCCTTTCAATAAGTGATTTCATTTACACAGATTCAGCAGCATGCATGTCATGACTGTTGGGTCTGTTGGATTTCTATTACTCTACTACACCTGCTAGTAAATTATTTGCCATGTAGAAATGTAATTTCTACCAAAAACAGTGATTGATCAGGTTAGTGATGTCTGACTGCTATTATTTTGAACACACAATTGTGTATATATATATTATATATATATATATATATATATATATATATATGTACAACACTGCATGTTGAAATGCGTATTTATTACAAAATATATGATAAATATTTTTAAAAATACATTTCAAAAAATACAAATCTACATTTTTAGAGTGCATTTACAAATATTATGTAAAATATATGTTAATATGACTTTTTATATGTTAAAAAAAACTGAAGAATATATTTAAAAAAAATATATTTTTAAAAATATATATTTTTTAAATATATTCTTCAGATTTTTGTAACATATATTTTTACATATATTTGCATTCCAAAAATGTAGATTTGTATTTTTAAAGGACTTTAACAGTATATTTGAAATTTATTTTTAAAAATATTTTTCATGTATTTTGTAATAAAAATGCATTTCAACATGCAGTATATATATATATATATATATACAGTCATGGCCGAAATTGTTGGCACCCCTTGATTATTTTTCCTGAAAAATCAAGTATTTCACACAAAAAAGGTATTGCATTAACACATGTTTTGCTATACACATGTTTATTCCCTTGTGTATGTATTGGAACAAATATAAAACAGAGGCAGAAAAGCAAAAATATGACATAATGTCACACCAAAACCCCAAAAAAATGGGTCTGACAAAAGTATTGGCACCCTTAACTTAATATTTGGTTGCAACACCCTTTGGAAAAACATAACTGAAATCAGTCGCTTCCTATAACCATCAATAAGCTTCTGACACCTCTCACACCGGAATTTTGGACCACTCTTCCTTTGCAAACAGCTCCAGGTCTCTCTTATTGGAAGGACAACCTTTTCCAACAGCAATTTTAAGATCTCTCCACAGGTGTTCAATGGGATTTAGATCTGGGCTCATTGCTGGCCACTTCAGAACTCTCCCAGCGCTTCTTTGCCATCCCATTTCTGAGTGCTTTTTGACGTATGTTTGGGGTCATTGTCCTGCTGGAAGACCCAGGATATCTTGGACGCAAACCCAGCTTTCTGACACTGGGCCCTACAGTGCGACCCAAAATCCTTTGGTAATCCTCAGATTTCATGATGCCTTGCACACAGTCAAGGCACCCAGTGCCAGAGGCAGCAAAACAACCCCAAAACATCATTGAACCTCCACCATATTTTACCGTAGGTACTGTGTTTTGTTCTTTGTAGGCCTCATACTCCGTTTTCGGTTAAACAGTAGAATGATGTGCTTTACCGAAAAGCTCTATCTTGGTCTCATCTGTCCACAAGACGTTTTCCCCAGAAGGCTTTTGGCTTACTCAAGTACATTTTGGCAAACTGTAAAGTCTTGCTTTTTTATGTCTCTGTGTCAGCAGTGGGGTCCTCCTGGGTCTCCTGCCATAGCGTTTCATTTCATTTAAATGTCGACGGATAGTTCGCGCTGACACTGATGCTCCCTGAGCCTGCAGGACAGCTTGAATGTCTTTGGAACATGTTTGGGGCTGCTTATCCACCAATCCGGATTATCTGCGTTGCAATCTTTCATCAATTTTCCTCATCCGTCCACGACCAGGGAGATTAGCTACAGTGCCATGGGTTGCAAACTTCTTGATAATGTTGCGCACTGTGGACAAAGGCAAATCTAGTTCTCTGGAGTGGACTTGTAACCTTGAGATTGTTGATATTTTGCCACAAATTTTGGTTCTCAGGTCCTCGACAGTTCTCGTCTCCTCTTTCTGTTGTCCATGCTTAGTGTGGCACAGACAGACACACAAATGCAAAGGTTAAGTGAACGTCTCTCCTTTTTATCTGCTTTCAGGTGTGATTTCTTATATTGCCCACACCTGTTACTTGCCCCAGGTGAGTTTACAGGAGCATCACATTGCTTGTAAACATTCTTATTTATCCGCAGTTGTGAAAGGGTGCCAATACTTTTGTCCAGCCCATTTTTGGAGGTTTGTGTGACATTATGTCGAATTTGCTTTCTTTCCTCCCTTTTTTTTGTTTTGTCCCAATTACACACAAAGGGAATAAACATGTGTATAGCAAAACATGTGTTAATGCAATACGTTTCGTGAGAAATACATGATTTTCAGGAAAAATATCAAGGGTGCCAACAATTTCGGCCATGACTGTATATATATATATAGAATATGGCCAAAATTGTAGCATTTCAAATATATGTCAATATATTTGGGAAGAATATTTTAAAAATATAATTCAAATTGGGGTACTTACTTTCTCTCACGCTCTAGCAGTGTCCCCTGATTTCCTCCTCAGCCCAATGTCAGCGGTCCTCCTAGGGGAGAACAACACTTGTCATTCACCCATTTCCCTGTGCCCCGCCTGTCATTTACATGCCCCCTAGGGGGCATGTCATCACACAGGCTGGGCGTATAGTACTCCAGAACTGAGCCACTGGAAGAAAGACTTTTTCCCACCACCACCGCCAACTGTGTGGTGTAACCAACTGGTTTGAAGATTGTGAGGAAACGGCATGAATAGTTTTTTTTTTTTTTTTTTTTTTTAATTAAAAAGACCAGGGTGAGAGAGGAGGGTGGTAGGTGGGTGTAGTTCTTTTAAAAATGAATTACAATTGACAAATGTGACCAGCAATAAAATGTAATCAATAAAATTGAATCAGTGAGCGCTTTTAAATCTAGCAGCTATAGCACATAAAGGTAACCAAGTGAAAACCTCATAAAACTAATATCTCATAAAAAGTTCAGCGCTGCACTTTTATGAGATATTAATAAAATGTAATGCATTAAACTAAATAGATGTCAAGAAACTCTATACTCTACTACACGGGTGTCAAACTGGCGGCCCTCCAGCTGTTTACAAACTGCAAGTCCCATGAGGCATCGCAAGACTAACAGTTACAAGCATGACTCCCAAAGGCAGAGGCATGATGGGACTTGTAGTTTTTGCAACAGCTGGAGGGCCGCCAGTTTGACACCCCTGCTCTACTGTGTCACAATCAGTAGTGTATTCAGGTTTTGTGCTGCCCTAGGCAACACAAAAATCAGACGCCCCCCCCCCCCTCCCCAACACAGAGAGAGCCTGACACCAACAGCAGAATCCCCGGGAATGATAATCAGGCTCTGCATACACCATCAAGCAGCCTACAGCCTCTCTCAGATCCCACCTGGTCCCCAAGCCGCATATGTTTAGTTTTTATTTTTTTTTATATTTTGTTGGTTTTTTTTGTTTGTTTTTTTTTTGGTATTTTTTTTTTTTTTGTTTTTTTTTTTTTTTTTTTTTTTGTCCCTTCTTCTGGGGGGCACCCCCTGGGCAATTGCCTTGTGTGCCTTGAGGTAAATACTGCCCTGGTCCACAGTTATATTCCAAGGGCTCATTTTTTTAACATAAAATAAAAAAAGATGTCATACTTACCTGCTCTGTGCACTGATATTGCACAGAGCAGCCCTGAACCTCCTCCTCTGGGGTTCCCTGCTGGCAATCTTGACTACTCTTCTTCTGTGTCTGCCACCATAGCCAGGTGCTGTCTATAGATACACAAAGTGTGGTTTGGCCCCACTCCCATTCCCTCCCTACTAAATTTGACTGATAGCAGCAGGAACCAATAGACTGTAATCAGCGTTTTTTGGCAGGGGCGTTTTTTGGCTGGAAAATAAACCCAGATCTAGTTGGTTTTCTAAGGAGTTTTTTAGCTGTAAAAATGCTCTAATGCTTAAAATAACGCAGTTAAAAAGCACGTGTAGTAAACCGTGGCAAACCACGTTTTCTTCTGGACTTTTTTTAGCAAAAAAAAAATTTTTCTTTTATTAAAAATGCTAAAAACAACAAAACTCTAAAAAACGCGGCTAAACACTAATGCAAAAAATGCTAAAAAAATGCTGAAAATCTCATGTTTGTAATGTGACTTTACACAGCTAACGTTACCAGCGTTATTAAGACACCCCCGTGTGCATGGAGCCTTAGGAAAGCAGTGTACAGATTGAGATTGTTATCTTTTATGGAATCTTGTACCCCGTTTAGTGCTTAAACATGTGCACACACGCACATACATACATACATGTAAACTGCAATTCCCCCCTCCCCGATATGGTTAATTAAAGCGTTACTAAACCCACTACAGTAAAATCAGTCTGAATACAAGTAAAGCATGCTTGATATACTCAATGTGGAACCTAAGAGGTTAATCCTCTGCACTGTGTAAAAAGGCTGTTTGATCCTGTCTTCTCTCTGCCCCTCCTCTTGTTGAAATGACCACCTGATACAGACTGAATTCGTAGTCACATGCACATGCTTAGTTTGGTGTGTATTGCTAGAGAGGTTTTTTATTTTCTTGGGAGAGTGCATGTGATCAGCAAAGGACCAATCAGTACTGTCCAGACAGAAGGTAAAGGGTTTCACATCCTCCTAGAGCAGAAAGAAAACTCCTCCTACAAGCTTTAACCAGTGGTCTGCTGAAGTCACAAGAGTGCTCTAACTGCTGAGGAGAAAAGGTATTTAGCAGTTTATATTTACTAAAATAATTGCATTTCCATGTTGTGTGTACTGTGGGAGATGAGATAGAGTGAATGCAGGGTCCTGGGTTTAGTAACGCTTGGTCCTCCCCAAGCAGGATATTGCACTAAACATATAGGTAAATAAGAAAACCAGAACCTTCACTAAGTGGAAGAGTAGGTTTGATATTAAAGTTGTCATGCAGTGCCTCGACCCAGGATAGGACCTCTGTGAACAAAGGGGGTTCCCTTTCTGGGCATTTACCCAGTAATCTAATCAAAGTAATTGACAGAAGATGAACTACTGAGGCCAGGCATATAACATTAACCATAAGTATATAAATAAACACCAGTATGGGAAGAATACAAGCTTTCTATAATAAAGGTTAATAGGTAATATCAAAAAATGGCCTGACAAGAGTCCTGGTGGAATTGTGCACATATGCCTGGGTATATACTGTATAGTTATTGTTAAAGATACCTCCAGATTGAATGTTAGAGCAAAGTCCAGTTGCGCTGGGTCACGCAGGATAATCACAATGTGGCATCTGTCTTGATGTGGAAGACCTGAAGACAGAATCATTGATGATGGGAGATCTTCCAACCATTGTCCAAACCATCAGCCTGGAAAGTGAGCTTCTCACAACCAGGAACCATAGTGTAACATTGTAACTCAGGGTCACCCTGTCTACTCTGCTTCCAAATTCCTAGTAGCTGCTGATCTGCCATGCAACTGGATCTCTAAACTACCTGTGGGCCATTGGATACCTAAACCTGTCTTTAGCCAATGCTAATTGCTGAGCCCTGAGCACACATTATCTATGAAATCGTAGGACCAGAAGGGGCATCGGATAAACTAGAATAACAGGCGCTGCATATAAATTCTATTGCAATAAACAGATTTACCTACCTATACAGGAAGATGACCACTACTCAGGCACAGACCTAACTATCTGGTATAGTGCATGTGAGATAACAACACGGGACAGATATACTTCTGTTTTCAGTCTTTATAATATATTATATATATATATCATATATATATATATAGATATATATATATATATATATACACCTGGATTCAGCAGCAGCTCTACCAGAGCAGGACACTGAGGTATATCAGACTCTCTCTCTCTTTCTCTCTCTCTCTACTTCCTCCCTCTGGGTTTCCAACCCAGCAACCCAGAGACAGGAAGTGCTATACATAATTAACTCGCTGATTATTAACCATCCATTTATTTACAAATTACAGGGCAGTACATGGCAGCAGCTTCCCTACAAAGTTTTTTTTTACAGATTAGGAATTTTTATGGGATATTCTTTATAGCCAACATCAAGATAGCCCACCCATCACCACTACCACCTAAAGGTATAACCCCCGCCTCACTCCTAGCTAAACTAAAAATAAACTGTTATAGTAATTTAAAAATATATAAATACATGTAAATAGTTTGCCCCAATGCCTTTTCTGCTAGAAAGCTAGCAAATGTTAATGTAAAAAAGAGCACAAGGCACATTCACACGCGCTTGACCATGGACCATGGGATGCTGGAAAATTTTGCTGAATAGGAACAAAGAATATGACATAGTGTCTATTTAACAACAGAGAACTTCCATACACAAAACTAATAAAAGGGAAGTGAAGTGTCTTGTACACTGACGGAGAGTGGACAATAGGACACAGTGGTTAGTATCTGCTCTTTTGTGTGTGTATTGTGTGATTGTATTAGAGTCGGTGCTATCTTTGAAAAAGTAATATATAGCTCAGATTCATTATAGGATGTGATACTGCATAAAACTGCATGAAATTTCTATATTTATTAGAAGTATTAAGATATTTAAGTGGATCTAACTCCTCAGCACAAGCTGAAGTTTGTCTTTATTTTGCAGGGCCTAGTTTCTCACTAACGTTCTGCTGGTTGCTATGAGGAACATTACTGAAAAATGAATGCAAGGGGGGGGTAGCTCTGATGCCAGAGTGTCCATACCAGATGCTGCATCCTCACTGCAGTTCAGTAACATTGCCTTGTATAACGCAGGGCACCAAAACAACGACTGGAGTTTGTGCTGCCTTAACCTCTTGCTTCCCAGCAACCAATGACATTGTGCAGCCCAGTCTTTGGTTGCTGGTATGCTGGGTGGCCAGGCCACAGTGTCACTGGTTGCTAGGCACGCTGGTGGCTGGGCCACAGCTCATTAATTGCTGTTCAGTGTCCCCTAGCAACCAAAGAGGAGGGGGGCCCTAAAAATGGACACAATGGGTTGGCAAAAATGGGGTTGAATCTGGGGTTGATGTCAGTATAGCTGGATCACTGGGCTAACAACATTCAAAAGAAGCCAGTACAAGTGGAGGCATCCCCATTACTGTGTCAACCCAACCACAAAAACCAGCAAACAAGCAGCAATATATTATTTGTAACTCTTTGTTTTGTGGCATTGTGAGTGGGTTGGCATGGTAATGGGGTGATGGCAGCTGGAGATCGTAGCTGCTTCCAGAGGGTTGCAAAAATGGCTGTCTCAGACAGATATTGACTTAGGCATGCTCTTGCAAAGAATGTGACAGCAGTCTCACAGGTCCAATAATAAACTATAAAAAACATGGAAGACAGAAGTTGGCAGAGTCACACCTTTGACCCAGAAGCGTGGTTAAATCTTAACCTCCCTGGCGGTATCCCGAGTGTAGCTCGGGGTAAAGCTTAAGTACCACAAGCGGTAACCCCCAGCTACAATCGGGCTTACCATGCGGCGCTGCTCCACGATCTCCTCGATCACTTATCTTGTCCTGGCGCTCCTGGCAATTAGCCCGCCATGCAGTGTGCCCCCGGCCATCGCCTCCCATGCGGATGCCGGCATCTATCATCTGGGTTTCCGGTCCCCTGCGAGCGTCGGGTAATGTATGTAGGAACAGGCACAGCGGGGGAAATTTGAAAATGGACAAAAAGTATACATTCAGATAAAATCACTAAAATCACAATAGTCTAAAAACATTATCTGAGATCAAAAGCATTTCACATAGCATTTAGTCCTGTGCCCCGCCTGCAATTTTTTACTTGTTCTTTCTGCTCCTGGGAAAAACTGAGAAACGTCACCATGGCTGTCCAAAAAAAGCGTCCTGTTAGGGTCAAAAAGCAGTTGTAGAGTTAGGACCAGCTAGAGAAACAGCCTGATAAGGTAAAGTCAGAAACCACTTTGCAAGAATTGTAGTGATAATGATTCGTAGGGGATAAATTCGTCATCCATGACACTGAATAAACGATATTCTGCGATCTTGCTCAGTGATAGTGCCAGAACTTTTGGCAGCATATTAATTTCAACAATTTCAGTGTTGTTGGGTTTGATTAATAGTGATTGAATTTAAATTTATTATATAATTAATATGATTGTTATTTTTTATGATTAGGCTATTAATAATTAATAACTATTATGAATTTCGACATGTTTCAAGTGTTATCCTATCCCTCGTGCGAGGCATGTATTAGCTAGACTAGCAAACTCGTGTTCGGCAATAGATTTCAGATGAGTTATTCCTAAATAATTACAGGCCTCCAAGATATAAAAAATACATATTTCCATGCTCAAAAAATGTAACCGCTTTGAGCACAACAGAAATTATGGACATAATTCAGACCCCTAGAGGAGGATTAATTAAAGCAATGGGTTCCTGAACAGCATTTCAGTTACCCATGAGTTCTAAGAGAGCTTATGAGATCTAAGTTGCTTGGGAACCATACTAAGCTAATCATTGTAATGGCAATCTCTGTCTAACAACGGGATTTCCCCATGACTGGCTTCTAAATATAATTGAATAGCAGTTAGAAAACAAAACTTGATAGGGTAAAAATGTTGGGAGGGTACATTGGTTAATACAGAGGAAAAAGATAAAATTATTTCCAAAATAAGCAGTTTTCAGATGGGCAGTGGAAAAAACACTAGAATTCTTGGGTGTATCACTACGTAGGGATGTGGAGCTGAATAATCTCGCTGTATATTGTGCTGTTTGATTGGAGCATTACTTTTGCCATACACTTGACATCTATGCACAATTGTACTCACCCAGCTTCCATTCCCAGTCATTTAAATATATAGGGCATGGAGTTGCACCCCCTAACTCACATATTCAAGGTTTCTTTCTTTAAAGGTCAAACAGATAACTCAACTCAAAAAACAAACATGAAATGCAAGGATACATCCTTGGCCTTGTATCAACAGTCTCAAGCTCGGTGGTGTGGTGTATATGGGGGATATTTTCTTGGGCACTAGCAAGGTGTAACTAGTTAAAGTGGCCAGTGAGTTATAGAATGCCACAATACCTAAATGGCTTGTCTGTATTGGTTGGCTATCATGGCTATTAAGGTATATGTAAACCCTCAATTGTCCAATAACCTTACTTCAGAGTTGAATATACTTGTAGAAATGAAAGGCCAGAACATTTTTATATATAGAAGTTTAAAAACATTACAAATTAGTTTTTTTTCCTTTTTTTAAGAATGTATTCACCATAGCACTTGTTTCAGCTGACATAAGAGCTCCGGGGAGGAGAAACAGCAGTACAATGATCTTCAGTTAGGACTGGCATGTAAAAAACATCAGGGGTTTTTCACACAATGATGCAATACATAGAGAACAGGATAACTTTTTCATACTAAAGTACAGTAATAGTACTGCAGGCACATATCTGGAGATATGAAATGTGGGTTTATATGCTCTTTAAGTATCTTGGATGTTCATGATGTATCATAGCACTTGTTTTTTAATACTGTTTTAGATAAATGCGTACTATGATTGCACTGGACATCACTTTACATTTTGCCCTCCTTCTACCTTTTTCTTCTCTGTTACCTTACTTTTTGAAAAACACTTTTCAAAAATAAGCAGATTATATAATTATAAAAGATAATAATAAAACTCTGTCAGCAGAAGTAAGTGAGGTATTTTAACAGTAAAATAAATTTATATACATGCTATGAGACCAAACGGTCATCATGATAAATATATATCCATATTATGGATATATAAGTAGATAATTGAGCTTGACAACAATTAGATCTGGACATATTTGGCTCTATCAGTGAATGACACTCTTTATCTCATATCAAATTAGTAAAGCCTATCTTAATAAGTTTAT